GGATAAACACCGTTTCTACATGGTGTATTTGTAGATTAAGTTTCTGATACTTTTGGCTTGTGCCTGGCTTCCAGCCTGCTTCTTCGCCCCTGCATCCTGTAATCAGAGTAGAAATATGAGAAAATCACTTTACAAAAGATTGCAGAAGTAGCTCAAGATTCTTAAAAAATAGAACCTGGGAAAGGACTGACAATTTAGAGAGGATTTATACTTTCAGTGGGATAGGCTAACCTTACAATATATTTTCCTTGCAATCTCCTGTTTCCTCGAAAATAAGACCCAACCAAAAAATAAGCCCTAATGCGTCTTTTGGAGCAAAAATGAATATAAGACCCGGTCTTATTTTCGGGGAAACACAGTAGTAAAAGGGCTATTCTAAATTTGTATCCTGGGACTGCATAAAATTTAAATCCGGCTCTTGCCAAATTATTTACGTTTTGCTACTATTAGAAATGCAGAATCTATTAAAATTAGATAGGGAGTGTTAATTATGGACGTCCTGTGGCGATATGCTTTAGAGCTGTGTTTTCGAACTTGGCAACTTGAAATTTGTGGATTTCAACTCCCAGCATGCCGGCTGGGGAATTCTGAGACTTGAAATTCATATCTGTTCAATTGCCAAGGTTGAAAAACACTGCTTTAGAGCAGGAGTGAAATGCTTCCGGTTCGGACTGCATCACTCGATCCGGTAGCGATGGAGGTGGGTGATTCGGAGAACCGGTAGCAAAAATCCCTGCTATCCCTCCCCCCATGCCCAGCTGAGCCGGACAATCATCAGAGGCTTTTTTTTTTTTACTTTTAAAAGCATTTTTTCTACAACCTCTTCGGCCGAAAAAATGCTTTTAAAAGTAAAAAAAAAAGCCTCTGATGATCACACAGCTCAGCTGGGATCATCAAAGGCTTTTAAAAGAAAAAAAATCTTTTTTTAAAAAATGCCTCTGACGATCCAAGCTGAGTTGCCTGATCAGCAGAGGCTTTTTTAAAAACTCAGCTTGGATTGTCAGAGGCATTTAAAAGAAAAAAACCCTTTTTATCTCCAAGGCCGCCTTCTGCCACCGATGACCTCCCACCAACCCGTGCACTCCCACAGAGAGGGCCTCCTCGGGGTGCCATCAGCCAAGCAATGCAGGCTGGTGACCCCCAGGGGGAGGGCCTTCTCTGTGGGGGCACCTACCCTCTGGAATCAGCTGCCCCCAGAGATAAGTAGAATCCAAGACCTCCGTGCCTTCCGCCGTTCCCTTAAAACTTTCCTTTTCCAACAAGCCGGGCTGGCCTAACAATGCCTTTTAAATGATTTTAAATTTGTATGTTTCTTAAATTTTTTGGCCAAATTGAGATATTTCCTTTTAATTGGTTCTTAATGTTTATATTATGTGTTTTTATCTGGCTGTACACCGCCCTGAGTTCCCAGGAAGAAGAGCAGTATATAAATTTGAAGTAAAATAAAAATAAATAAATAAATAAATGCCTCTGACGATCCAAGCTGAGTTGCCTGATCAGCAGAGGCTTTTTAAAAAACTCAGCTTGGATTGTCAGAGGCATTTAAAAGAAAAAAAACCCTTTTTTTCTTTTAAATGCCTCTGATGATCCCAGCTGAGTTGCCTGATCGGCAGAGGCTTTTTAAAAAAGCCTCTGCCGATCAGGCAACTCAGCTGGGATTGTCAGAGCCTTTTGAAAGCATTTTTTTACAACCTCTTCACTGAAGAGGTTGTAGAAAAAATGGTTTTAAAAGTAAAAAAAAAATATTGGCCATGCCCACCCAGTCACATTCCCCCCCACAAGCCACGCCCACAGAACCGGTAGTAACAAATTTTAGATTTCACCACTGCTTTAGAGGTTTTGTCCTGAAAAGAGACAGCTGTTCCAGATGAGTCCTGGCCTGAGCATCTGCTCAGCCCCCCCACCTCCCACGAGGCTTTGCCAATGAATATAACCATTCTTGGGGAAAACTGCATTGGAAATCACAGCTTCCTTTGGGTTACACATCGTTGTAGCTGATAGTACTGGAAAAATCAGATTTCTCCACTTTGCAGGCAGAAGGGAGACGTCTGTGGCAAGGAGCGGGGGTCCAACTTTTGCTGGTTTTCTCAAGCAGCTATAATTCAAAGTGTTCTAGAGCATAAGAAGGCCAGATTTGCTCTCTATCAATTACTTCATCGGGTTGCAATGTGACAAAAGATCAAGTTTTCTTTGTCTGCAGGACAGGTGGGTAAACAAGCTGTCAACATTCTGACTGACGAACCCAACCAAAGCAAGCACGGCCGAGACGATCCAATCTCTTAATGCAAAACTTTACTGAATACATCATTTCGGCACAGAAGAGGGCAAAACCAGATCTAGCTAATTCCCGCGCAAACCCACATAATTGAAGTATGGATTCTTCCCCCCCCCCCCCCATTAGAACAGGTCACATTGTCCAATTGAGTTTCATTGTATTGCTATGAGAAAAAGGCTTTGGCTTTGGCAAACACCTGCCGGAGTGTCCTTGGCTCTCACGGCTGTCTTCTTGATGTCTGGAACCTACATTCCATCGCCCCCTTCCCTCCCCACTGGTCCGTTGGCAAGCCGAGAAGCAATAATGGTTGCAACTGCAAAAGTGCACTTCGAAACTTGACACCAAGCATTGTAGGCTGCCCACTTTGAACACTAGGTGTTGCTCTGGAACAACACACAAAACCTGAGGAAATAATACTTTCCTCTGCTCCAAGTTATTTTCCAGATTATTTGGAAAATAGTTGACTTCTTTTCCAAAGCACCAGAATGCAAGACAAGAAGCAGTGGATGGAAACTAACCAAGGAGAGAAGCAACCTAGAACTAAGGAGAAATTCCCTAACAGTGAGAACAATTAACCGGTGGAATGGCTTGCCTTCAGAAGTTGTGGGTGCTTCATCACTGGAGGCTTCTAAGAAGAAATTAGACAGCCATTTTTCTGTAATTGTGTAGGGACTCCTGCCTAAGTAGGGGGTTGGACTAGAAGACCTCAAAGGTCCCTTCCAACTCTGATGATGTTCTACATTCTGTTCTATAATCCAAACAGCTGACTTTAGTTAAGTGTCTGGTTGTAATGCCTCTGGTTGCCATAAGTAAATAGGGTAGGGTGTCAGCCTCTGCTTTGGCTGCTTTGGCTGCCATAGGAACCGGGAGGGGGGAGAACTAGGGAGCTTGGGGGGGAAGCGTGCTGGAGGAGGGGCGTGGCTTCGGAAGAAACGAAACTGAATCCTTGAAGTTGCTATCGGGTCAACCGTCGTGGCATTCCTGATTGATGACGCTGCCAGACGTGCTTCCACCTGACCCTGGGAAACCTTTGGATTGGATGATTTACGATGGACAGTGGGAGGGGATGCTTTCTATATGCACTTTTCGCGCCTATTACTTTAATTTCAGCTTAGCCGTGGTTGCGTTCACTTCATTTCTAGTAAAAGTACCTTTCTCTATAAAACATGGAGTTTGGGTCATTCTTTCCTGGACTTTGAAGGAAGCACACCTGACATTCATGTTACAGATCAGGAGAATGGCCAGATAAGATGTTTAACCTGCGTCAGGAAACCTTTTAATGTGTTCGCTCTGGTTTCCATTGGGAACTCACAAGTTTAACTGAGATATATTTGAAATGTGACCGGATCGGAATTGGGAAAACCCAGATGATTGCTAGGTTGTGGCAAAAGATTAGCATCTCATGATGATCTGGATTTTTGCAACCTTTGGATAATATTTCTATGATAATTACCCATTGACTGAACACATAGACCAGGGATGCCAAACTCGATTTCATTGAGGGCTGCATCAGGGTTGTGTTTGTCCTCAGGGGGACGTGGGGGCATGGGGAAGGCGTGGCCAGCTCGACATTGCTTGTGTCGGGGGTGCCTGTGATGGCCTGAATGCTCTGCCAGAGAAAACAGGCTCCTGAGCTCCGTTTTCAGCTGCGACGGCCTCCTGCAACCCTCTGCCAGCGAAAACAGCACCCAGTCCTTTGCTGTGTCCAGGGTGGCCCTGCAGGCCAGATCTAAGTACCCTGTGGGCCGGCTCCACCTCCTTGAGTTTGATACCCCTGACATAGACTAAATGGAATGAAGGGTAGGTTTCAGTGGTGGGTTTCAAATTTTTTTACTACCAGTTCTGTGAGTGTGGCTTGGTGGGCATGGCAGGGGAAGGATACTGTAAAATCTCCATTCCCTCCCCACTCCAGGGGAAAGATACTGTAAAATCCTCCATTCCCTCCCCACTCCCCACAGGGGAAGGTTACTGCAAAATCCCCATTCCCCCCTCCAGTCCAGGGAAGGATACTGTAAAATCTCCATACCCTCCCCACTCCAGGGGAAAGATACTGTAAAATCTCCATTCCTCCCCCATCCCCACAGGGGAAGGTTTACTGCAAAATCCCCATTCCCTCCCCAGTCCAGGGGAAGGTTACTGCAAAATCTCCATTCCCTCCCCCACTCCAGGGGAAAGATACTGTAAAATCTCCATTCCCTCCCCACTCCAGGGGAAGGATACTGTAAAATCTCCATTCCCTCCCCACTCCAGGGGAAGGTTACTGCAAAATCCCCATTCCCTCCCCACTCCAGGGGAAGGATACTATAAAATCTCCATTCCCTCCCCACTCCAGGGGAAGGTTACTGCAAAATCCCCGCTTCCTCCCGATCAGTTGGGACTTGGGAGGCAGAGAATAGATGGGGGCGGGGCCAGTCAGAGGTGGTATTTACCGGTTCTCCGAACTACTCAAAATTTCCGCTACTGGTTCTCCAGAACTGGTCAGAACCTGCTGAATACCACCTCTGGTAGGTTTATTTGTTGCATCCCCGATGTGTCAATCCAAATACCATCTCTAAACATTCTCTGTGGGATCTCTTGGAATTGGCACATTTTATTTCTCCTTGGGGACTTCATATTTCCTGCTGCTTGTTCAAGCCCTAACATCCTGTGTGTGCTTGAATGCGAAGGCACCATGGCAAGTATTATCTAAGTTACTCCCATGTGGTTTTTGTGGCTTTTGACCCACTGTTTTCCAGGACTTTTGTTTCCCGTTGTTGCGCTCTGTGTCAAATGCTGCCTTCTGAGTCGTCTCCACCCAATTTTTTTCGGAGTTTTCAAATGAGTCAGACTTTGAACCGCATGGAAACTATGTTTGCTTCTGAGGTCATTGCAGAGCTGGGTGTGGTAGGCAGAGAACATGGCAGCAGAAAAAACTACAGAAACCATGTAGCCCAAACCTATACAGGCAAGAGAAAAACTAAATAAATAGCTAATCTTCAAAATGGCTTGAAGATTGGTTTACCATTTTATATTACGCCCAATTTTGATGCAATTAGTTTTAATCGAGGAGAAAATTGCCCCCAATTTAATCAGACCGGCAGGAAAATCAATGCATTAATCAATGCATTGATTACAGTTCTTATAACAGTTCAGCTAAGGTGCTTTCTGATTGACAGCTGCGATCCTCTGCCTATTAAAATAAGCGTTCAGATAATGGGGAAGCTTTTGTTAAGGTTCAGAGAGGAGGGTCTCCTTCTCTTTAAACTTCTACCACCACCTCCCAACTCTGGAATGGTGTAGAAAAGGAGAGATTGAGCAGAAGCAGACCATGGTTAATCTTTGGAAGAAGAGAAGGACTTGAGTCCCGATATAGCCAGCTGGTGCCAACGCTGGCTATTGGGAGCGAATCATTGGCCCCCACGGAGAGGGCTCGCAACTTGGGCGTCCTCCTGGATACACGTCTGTCTTTGGAAGAGCATATGACGGCCGTGGCCAGGGCGGCTTTTCATCAGGTCCGACTGATTCGCCAGTTGCGGCCCTTTCTGGATCGGGACTCCTTACGCACAGTCACTCAGGCACTCATCACTTCCCGCCTGGACTACTGCAATGCTCTCTACATGGGGCTCCCCTTGAGGAGCACCTGGAGGCTCCAACTGGTGCAGAATGCGGCCGCGCGGGGGATTATGGGAGCAAGAGGGCGCTCCCATGTGATGCCTCTCCTGCGCGAGCTGCATTGGCTTCCAGTGGTCTTCTGGGTGCGCTTCAAGGTATTGGTCACCACCTTTAAAGCGCTCCATGGCATCAGACCTGGGTATTTGCGAGACCGCCTTCTGCCGCCTTCTGCCTCCTACCGACCAGTACACTCCCACAGAGAGGGACTCCTCAGGGTGCCGTCATCCAGGCAATGTCGGCTGGCGACCCCCAGGGGGAGGGCCTTCTCTGTGGCAGCTCCTGCACTCTGGAACGATTTGCCCCCGGAGATACGAAGGATATCGGATCTCCGGGTCTTTCGCTGTGCCCTAAAAACTTTTCTTTTCTATCAAGCAGGGCTGGCGTGAAACACCCCCCCCCCCTTTTTTTTAGCTCTTTTAGCTTTTTAGCTTTTTAAGTATAAATTGGGTTTTAATTGGATTATTTTAAATTGTGGGCCAAAGTTGTATAATTCTTTTAATTGATTTTAAATTTTGTATTGGTATGTTTTTTATCCTTGGCTGTGCACCGCCCTGAGTCCAATAGGAGAAGGGCGGTATATAAATTGAATAAATAATAATAATAATAATAATAATAATAATAATAATAATAATAATAATAATAGTTTCCCATTCCCATTCCTGCCTGTTTTTAAATCAGTGTACAACAGGGTCAAACTTGATTTTGTGTTTGACCTTGGGGGGGGAGGGAGTGGCCAGGGTGGGCATGGCCAGCTCAATGTCACTCATGTTAGGGGTGCCTGTGGTGGCCTGAGCATTCTGCCAGTGAAAACGGATCTTGGGAGGGCCGCACACAGCCCTCCTAAGCTCCATTTTCCCTGGCAGAGGGTTGCAGGAGGCTGTCGCAGCCGAAAACGGAGCTCAGGAGGTCCATGCACACAGGGGTGGGCTTCTGGGGGTTTGCAGGGGTTTGGGAGAACCTCTAGCTAAGATTCTGTGCAGTTCGGAGAACCCCCCAAATCCCACTCCTGCCCACCCTATCCCGCCCCTCCCAGGAGTCCCCACATCACCCATTTTGGATGCAGGTAAGTGCACAGCGCATACTGAGGCTCGGGGAGGGTGAAAAACAGGCCTACCGGAATTTCAGGAAGGCCCGTTTCTGGCCTCCAGGCTCCCTCCGGAGCCTGGGGAGACCTTTTTTGCCCTCCCGGAGGCTCGAAAAACGACTCTGGAGCCCGGGGAGGGCAAAAACATCCCCCCCTCCTGTGGTACAGGAGGCCAACTAGGCCATGCCCACAATGGCCATGCCCACCCAGCAACTGGGCAGAAAACTTGCTAAAATCTTTGAAGCCCACCCCTGCATGCACAGACCTCCCAAGCTTCATTTTTGCTGGCAGAGGCACTGCGGGCCGGTCCTTCCCTGTTTCCAGGGCGGCCCACGGGCCAGATCTAAGCACCCCATAGGCCGGGTCTTGAGTTTGACCCCTGGTGTACACTATATTTTATAATTTACCTGTTAACTCTGCCAGGTTCTTATCCCACCTCTCTGGGCTAAAGACTTTTAGAACGATGTGGGACGCCTGGGGAGTGACCACAAGCCTCAGCCTATGACCTTGCTCCAAGACCAAAGGCAAATTTAGGAAAACCTCATCCCTTCTCAATTCCGCTTCCAAGAGCTGCCATCACAACATAACACATTTGTGTCCTAAGTAGAGATTATATGAATAAATGGCAGCACCAGCACAGTGAACAAACATGTGAAGTGTTGGTACCGCTTTATACTACACTGGTAAGACCACACTTGGAATACTGCATCCAGTTTTGGTCACCACGTTACAAACAGAAAGATGTCGAGACTCTGGAAAGAGTGCAAAGAACAGCAACGAAGATGATTAGGGGACCCGAAGCTAAAGAGTACAATTTATTTATTTATTTATTTATTGGTTCGATTTATATGCTGCCCTTCTCTGGAGACTCAGGGCGGCTTACAATGCGTTAAGCAATAGTCTTCATACTTTTGTATATACCTGCTTAGTAGGGCTTTCAGGCCCCCCCGAAGCAGTGTTCTTTTTTATACAAAGTCAGAGTCTGGGTCCTCATTTTACCTACCTCAAAGGGATGGAAGGCTGAGTCAACCTTGAGCCTGGTGAGATTTGAACTTGCAGTAATTGCAGGCAGCTGGTGTTACTTAACAATGCTTTAGTCTGCTGCGCCACCAAGGCTCTTCAAGGCTCAATGAAGGGTTGTGGGAACTGGGTATGTCTAGTCTAATGAAGAAAAGGACCAGGGGACACATGAATTTTCTAACATTTGAGGATATTAGAAATATCTCCGTCACAGAGAAGAAGGGGTCGACCTGTTCTACATGTGAGGAGGGCAAGACAAGAAGTAACAGCTGGAAGTTTATCAAAGAGAGATCCAACCTAAAATTAAAGAGAAAATTCCGGACAGTGAGAACAATTAATCAATGGAATGACCTGCCTTCAGAAGTTATGGGTGCTTCATCACTGGAGGCTTTTAAGAAAAGACTGGACAGCCATTTGTCTGGAATGGTATAGGACCGTGATGACGAACCTATGGCATGCGTACCACAGGTGGCACATAGCGCCCTCTCTTTGGGCACGCAAGCTATCACCCGAGTTCAGCTCCGCCGCGCATGCTTGTGTGCCTCCCACCAGCCAACTGGACATCGGGTCTCTGCCGTGCATGCACAGGGGGTGGGGCACGTGCAGGGGGTGGGGCGCACATGCATGGGGGGGTGGGCCACATGCAGGGTGTCAGGTTTCAATGTTGTCTCAATTAAAATAAATTGCATTTCCAAACAAATAGTCTTTGAAGAAATCTTTCATTTTATTAAGCACGACAACCTGTCCCCGATCGTGGCGTAGCCAACACTGACTTCCTGACCCCAAAACCTTCCCTTTCCGTTCCCCAATTCTCTGCGTCTCATGGCCCTCTTCCCAAATCACTCTCCCCATATCTCCCATTTCAGCTCCCAGGAATGTCCCCCCTCCCATCTCATCTCCTCGGAAACATCATCTCCAGGGAAAATAAGTAGGCGAGAAGTCAAGCGTCCTCTTGCCAGCTGCCCCCTCTTCTCCTTCTTATGTCAGCACTAGAGTAAATACAGGTTACTCTAGTGCTGACACAGAGAGGCCTTGCGCGCATGCATGGGGGTTAGGCGCATGCATGGGGTGGCGTGTGCATGCGTAGGGCCCAGGCACATTCACAGGGGCCGGACATGCATTCGTGCGTGCACACATTGGGCACTCATTCCGCAAAAGGTTAGCTATCACTGGTATAGGATCTCCTGCTTGAGCAGGGGGCTGGACTAGAAGACCTCCAAGGTCCCTTCCAACTCTGTTATTTGGTGTTCTGTAAAGACATTGGATGGCCCGGCACTTGGGAAGCGTCTCATTTCAGCCGCTGTGACATCCACTGATCTAGCTGGAGCTTAACATATCTAGTTAGAAGTTACTTCTTTAGCGGGAAGGGAATTTCCAGCAAATTCTGTCAGCAATTGTGTCCTAGGATATCTTGGGGTAACAGAGGCTTTTGTCTCTCATTCTTTGCCCTTGGCCTACTTCAGTTAGCCTCGGGGTCTTCTGTTTTTCATGATTTCTGCTCCTATGAATTAAATGCAGGCTGACATGTGGAATTTGCACATTCCTGCCAAAATGGTCTGCCTGTGAAGGAGGAGCAGCCAGCAAAGGACACTGAATATTTCAGTTGGTGCTTAGTAGGGGGAAAAGGGAACTGGGTGGCTGGGTCACGGCAGCGGATTCTGTTGGATCCCACATGAAACCAGATACCTCAGAAACAGAATATGGGGATTTTTTAAATGGCAAAGCAATATACTTACTGGGTCTCCTCCTCCTCTCCTCCTCCCTCCTCTCCTCCTCCTCCTCCTTTTCTCCTTCTCCTTCTCCTCTTCCTCTCTTTCTCCTTCTCCTCCTTCTCCTCCTCCTCTTCCTCCTCCTCCTCTCTTTCTTCTGCTCCTCCTCCTTCCTCTCCTTCTTCCTCTCCTCCTCCTCCTCTTCCTCCATCTCCTCCTCTCCCTCCTCCTCCATCTTCTCTTCCTCCTCCTCCTCCATCTCCTCTTCCTTCTTCTCCTCCTTCTCCTCCTCCTCCTCCTCCTCTTCCTCCTTCTCCTCCTCCTCCTCCATCTCCTCCTCCTCTCTTTCTCCTTCTTCTTTCTCTCCTTTTCCTTCTTCTCCTCCTCCTTCCTCTCCTCCTCCTCCTCCTCCTCCACCAGCAGCATACTGGCATGCTCTCATCGCCTCTCTTCTCCACAAATACGATTTCAC